CCAAACGGACTGTAACTATGAGAATAGTAATGTTTAGAATGTCATTAACAAAGATGGGATAGTGTACCTGCACCTTAAAGGTGCTTTAAAATTTATTAAACATGAATAAATTTTAAAGATTTTTAGTACGACAACGTACAACAGCCAACCCATTACAATTATATTGTTGAACGTAATCTATTAAAAGTGTTATCATAAAACCTTTTACCAATGTTTATAAATACTATTTAATTCAAAATCAGTGCTAACATCTTGATTACAAAAATGTTAAATTCCTAAGCCTATTTGTTTAATTGTAGATTTTTATCTTTGTACAAATATGTATGTTACACGTTGTTAAATAAAATTTAACTGTACTAAATAATACATAACAGTAAAAAATTACGAAAAATTTGAAATTGCGACTGTTGTTAAGCATTATTCGTCAACCAATTTCAATATAGGTATGTTTATACTATTGTTATTTAAATAGTATTTATTATTTAGAAATTAGGATAAATTAGGAATCTATTCAAATGGAATTACACACAACTTTTGTTGTTGGGGACTTTTATTATGTTACTTTTAGTGGCACTCCTACCACTTAAAATAATGTTTCGGACTACACGATTCTTTGATTTTAATATAACTACTAAACATTTTTTCGACCGGTTAGGTTTGTTTAGGAAAAAAAACTTCAAATTATTAAAGATTATTACAGTATATTAAGCTGTGTACCTAAGTAAAATGTTTTGGTGAAAATTAAAAAAAAAAACGCTCAACTTTGACTATATATTTATTTCGAATTCCAGATTCCAAGTACACAGCTATATATATTCTAATAATATTTACTACTTGCATGATTTTTAAGTGGCTTGAATAGGTTTTTTTTTGTTGTGAAAATACGCATTTCCGGATTCCATCAGTAGTTAAAATATTGTCGAAAATGAATTTTGCAGTCGTCGGCTGCTCTAATTTGTATCTTTTGTTAAACATTCTTAAAAGTTACAAGAGAAAAATTGTTAAAATGAACAAGCAGTAATAAAGACAACCGAGGACTGCAACATTCTTACATAATATTTCAAAGAAATTTAAGTGTAAATCTGTGTAATGAGCAACTTTTTTAGTTTTAGCGTTTTTGTAAAGTTGGCTGGACGATTTTTAAAGCAGACAACTATGACAATATTATGGTGTATTTTTATTATTTCAAAACCGTCGAAAACAATGAACATAGTAAATATTATTATTATTAAACTCTTATAATTTTTGTACATAATTTCGTCAAGCAATAATACTATAAAGTTATCTTCTCGATAATTAGGTTTTAAGCGTACATCGAAGAAGAAAAAAATTAAAAATGTCAAAAAATGAATAGCTTAGATGGGACTTAAACCCTGGAATTAAATTTTAAAAAAATCGCTTAAGAAACGGGGATATTCGACAAAGAATGTTACTGCTAAAAATTGTTTAATTTATTTTTCCTAATTTACACATATTTATTAAATAGGTAAATACATTTATGTTAATTATTACAACTATTATTCGTTATAACTCATAGAATGAGTAAACTTTTTTATTTTATTTAACGGGTATATTAGTTTAATTAAATCAATAACAAAAATAACATAAATTTCCAAATTTTTATAATTTTTTACTGTTATGTATTATTGGGTACAAATTAATTTTATTTAACAACGTGAAACAATTATATATTTTATACTAAGCTAAAAATCTCCAATTAAACAAATAGGTCTAAGAATTTAACATTTTTGTAGTTAAGATGGTATCACTGATTTTGAATTAAATAGTATTTATAAATGATAAAAGGTTTTATGATAAAAAATTTTAATAGATTACATTAAACATTATAATTGTAATGGGTTGGCTGTTGTATGTTGTCATACTATAAATCTTTAGAATTTAAACTTTAACGCATCCTTAAGGTGCAGGTTCATCCTTTGGTATCCATTTGATGGTTACGTAAACTTTCCCATCTACGCCAATGACATTCTGATCATTACTATACTCATTAAATTTCTCATAGTCACAGTCCTTGTGGTCAACTTTTATGAATTTAAGATCATGTGGTGTACTTTGACCCAAAAATATATTTGCAATCAACTGTAAATTAAAGAAAAAACAAAGCATTTTTACAACAGCAAAAAATCAGATTCAATTAATACATTTTGTTTTATTATTCCAATACGATAAATATCGCAATAATACGAAGCAATTGATATTTTGTATTTACACCGTTTATGATTTCATTGTCTAAGATCACTGATCAGGACATAATGGCTATATAATGTTTGAAGCCATCGCCATTTGTGATTTGCATGCACAAGTATACAACCGCATAGGATACATAGTCAGTGTCGAGCACAATAAAAGACGGTTTCTTCACATCAGTGTCTGGAAAGTGTATTATAAAAATGATCAATTGGGTATCTATGTAATATAAATTGGTTTACTATCGGTAAGTAAATTTAATTAAACACTTAAATCGTAAATTATTAAATAATAAGGAATTGTTGGTATATCTTAGTGTAACACACGATGAACGAGTTCACAAAAATATTTATAGAAATCTGTTAAAACAAACTGTCAAATCATCGCACGTATTTGAATAAACGAAAAGAAGATCGGTATAAGTCATTACTGATGGTAATTTTGATGATTTGACTTCCAATGCTCCCAAAAAAAAATCTGTAATTGAATTTATTTGCATAATCTATCATATTTTCGATTTTCTGTGTGTAAAAATCATACACTAAACATCGATTTTCTGGAAACGTCGTTTTAACGACGTACCATTTTCCTAAAAACTATAGAAAAGGGACCGATTTTCATATAGGTAACAATTATAAGCTTAAGTTAAAAAAAGGTAACTATATTTACAAATACAGTTAAGCTTTTAGAAGCTCAATCAATGATAATTATGATTAACGTACATACTATGATACTCAATTGTTTTATTCTGTTGTTATGTATCCTGGCAAGTATCAAATGCATTATTTGAACTTACCTTTTCCATTTCGAATTTAGCCTTAGGATCTAAATTAAGACACTGATGTCCCGAAACGACATTCAAAGAACTAACAGCAATATAGATAAAATACGCAAGCCATTGAACTTCATTGTATGAATGTGTATAAAACAACGTAAATTGAATACTTTTAAAATCTAAAAAAAAAACATTGCAATAATATCACTCAAGTTGTCATCGTGTACGGTGAGCTTAACGACGGCCTAAATAATTGTAGATGGATGAAGCGGAGGAGAGGGTCAGGTGTTTTGTGTGACAGAAGGATGGCTATAAGATTGAAAGGTACATTTTTATAGGACGGTAGTGAGGCCAGGAATGTTATATGGGTCGAAATGTTAGGCAGTAGACAAAAAAAATGAATAGAGAATGAGTGTAACACAGATGAGAATGCAGAGATGGATGAATGGAGTAACTAGGGAGGACAGAATAAGAAATGAATAAACAAGGGGAGTCTAAGAGTGGCATCGATTGTGGGGAAAATGAGAGAGAATATGTTGAAATGGTTCGGATATGTTATGAGAAGAGATCAGGCAGAGGCAGTGAAAATTGTTGTGAATATGAATGTATAGGGAAAGAGTTGAAGAGAGTGGTATTAGAATAGCTGGGGTCATTGAACATCTCGTTGATCATCGGAGGAGTACGAACTACGAGATCGATATCAATGTAGGTGTGAGACTAGGGTGGCTGAAATCATGTAGTTGGGATTGTAATGCGAAGATGCGAAGAAGATGTTTCTGAAAAATCTGGAAAATTTGAGCTTTGTAATAATAAAGCCTAAGATATTTTTATGTCTTAATATTTATTAGAAACAATATCTGGTTGAGCTTTGCAGCGGCAGAGACAAAAGTGTTTTTATTCGCAATGAAATAAAAATTTGCGGCTGTGACAACAAGAACTGTGTAAACAAAACAGTGGTTTTGCCATCGCTAAAAACAGTTTGCACCGAATGTAAGCAAACATATTTTAACTACGCATAGATCATAATAATTATTCTTACTATCATAATTGGTTTAAAGTAAAATCATTCATTAAATAATCATAAGGGAAAAATATCTTTATAGAGAATGTCATATCAGTTAAAAAAGAATCCTTAGAAATAAATTTAAGGCTATAATAAGAATGTAAAAAGTATATAAAATAATATACGGTTCGTCGAAACCCGATAATGTCCCTTCCTGTGACGGCATAACAATTATCAAATGAAATATTTATTTTTAATCTTTCTAGCCGCTGCTTTGTGATGGCCAACGGGATAAAAAAATATATAAATAATATATATAGAGTGTTTCGTTTTACCTGAAATATATTTAAGATACAAAATATAAATTTATATCTAAAATACGTTTTTGATATTAAAGTATTTAAAGTAATTAAAATAGAACTTTAGAAATAAAGTTATGGCCATTATAAAAATGTAAAAAAATTATATCTACTTCAATCAGAGAGTTATACAAATTCTCTTCAAATATTTTTTTCACGTTGTATTATAAAGATGCACAACTGATTCCAACAAAAATTTAATTTAGCATTTTATCCAAAATGTCACCTTAAATATTTTTAAGATACAAAATGGAAAATATAAATTTGTATCCTTAAATAACACCATTATAGAATCTATAATTTTATTTTTTTTATAGTGATTTAAGTGTTGTATTGTACTGCGTACACCTTTTTTTTCAGTTTAAATTTTGATTTTGATATGAAAACAATTTAATAGCAGATTATGAAATATTGCACATATTTATTTTTCATGCACACTATCTCAATAAATGTGAAAACAGTCGATTATTACTAAAAATTTCAATTAGTTTTGTACTTATTGTATTCTTTATCTCGATGGTTATATCACAGTTTTATCTACCTAATCTGTGATTTGGTTAAATTTTTAACCGCCATTCGCCGCCTCCAGCCAGCCGGTTTTCTTTATCTCATTAACCTCAAAATGTACTCGGCTTGGTTCACTTATCATTTTTGAATAAATGTTTGAAGCAAGATGAATACAAAAACGAACGGTAGGATGTAAATAATTTTGAAATCAACGGGCAATAATATAGACAGAAAATACCAATCGGTTTCCAAACAAATACAATTTAAGTTAACCGATAGCATTTTTACTATCAGCAGCTCAATTCCAGTTTAATATCGTTACCGGTTGTAATACTTCATTGGCGGTCAAACGGATGTTTCGACGACAAACATAAACATGAGTGCCAAAACGTTTACGTGAGTATTGTTTTGTTGACGTTCAAAAAATATATTAAAGTACAGTTTATTTATAAATTTTACACACTTATTCATCATAGTTGGAAAGGATTGTATTACAAGTTGAACAAACTCAACGTCAGTTACGCAGATGAATCGATCGAGTCGCTTATTAACGATGCTCTGGACGATATGAAAAAAGGCATCTTAAAATTCAAGCCACACTCGTCGACGAGGCTAGTATTTTACAAGGGCGATAAACCAGATACCGATTATTTGTATCCTATTGTCTCGCAATTGCTGGTAATTATAAAACGGAGAAATTAAAAATAATATATAATTATACATTTTATATTTTTTTTACCTAGTTTATTAACGAGACAGACGCTAAAAGCGTGTACGAAAAATACAAAGAAAACGAATGCCAGAACGACAAGTTAAATAAAAATTTAACGGAAAACGAATTACATAATATTTGTGTAAACGTTTGGAACTTTTACAACGAAGAAATATTATTCTTGTTTCGGACGTTGAAATATATTTTGACCGCAGTCGAAAACCACACCGCTCATTATTCCGTAAGGAGACACATTACAATTTTTTCTTTGTTTATATAAATAATAATTCTCAATTATTTTTCAGGCTGTATGCAAAAAAATTGTTCGCAAACAAAATTGGGAAGAATGGTATGCTTCACTACAAAACCAGCTGTCGTATGTTCGGTCAATAACTTTTTTCGATACGATTGTGTACAAACCTCTTCAGAAAGTCGTACATAAGAATTTGTTGGGATTTATTTTAAATCAACAAATTGAACTTTTACAATTAATGGTGCTAACTTCGATAAGAATAGATAGATTAACCAAAGACGATTTTAACACTTGGACGAACAATTTGATTGTAAGTAATCTAAAAGTGTTTCAGTTATTATTTTTTTATTAGCGATAACAAATAGTTGCGAAAGAAGGTTGGATGGTTTTTATTGTCGTCTCAATATTTTTGTCAAATTCAATCGCCGTCTTGTTTCAGGATAATAATTTCGGAAAAAATCAGACACTTGAGTACGACTATAACAATTTACAAACTATGTACGCCGAACTGATGAGCCAGATTTCCAGTTTAGAAACTTTGCATTCGTTACAAATAATCACTTCGTTTTGGGAGTAAATAATTTTGTTTTGTATAATATAAAACTTGTTAAATATTTGTGACTAAATTAAAGTGTTATTTTGATATATTAAGGCCTGAAAATTATATTTGGACTTCCGATCAGGAATTCAACGAAGCGGATAAAAAAATAAGAATGATACAACACAGCAGTGAATATGGAGCTGTACTGATGGCTTGGACCATATTGAATCTAAAAGGAAAATACGGACTTAAGAATTTACAAAAATTAGAAGTTTACACTGACGCCATTAGTAAATTAAAGTTGTGGCCACCCTTATTGGACATGTGTCGGTCGTCGGTTGTAAAAGTAATTAGTTTTGTGTGTGGTAAAATATTTCAACGTTTTATTATTGTTGTCTATTACAATTTTTAATTTCAGGATCATCCAATCACCGACAAATTGGCAAGGGTTTTGTGTGAAAGTCTAATCATAGAAAGTATAGAATTGGATGTATTCGATTTGATCGACTACGAACCCACACTCATCAAACTATTGTTATGTCTATTAAGTAAAAATCCGCAGCTGTCTACTGAAGCGATAAGTGATACAGAAAATGGCATCGGTTTGTTTGTGAAAAAGTTTACAGAAATGTATCCAGTAGATTTGTGCAGCTTATTCGACTTGTTTGTCGGCATTATTAAAGGATCTGCTCAAAATTTAAATAAAGTATAAATAATATATTGTATTGTTACAATATACATTTTTGCGACGTAAAATAATTTTCAATTTTTTAAAAATAGGTGTGGCGCATAATGAACAGTATAAACACTTTCAATGCCGTATCTCCACCCGACGGTCAATATGTTTACGAACAAGAAACGGACACATTTTACCTGACTGAAAAATATCTCGTCAACGATGCGATTTGCAATTTAGAAATTCCGAATAACACTAAATTCATAAGCGATGGTGAAATGGTTCGATTCAGTATCAAAGTGCCGGTTTTTTATTTTTTGAATTCTGCAATAAATAATTTTAGAATGGTAAGTAATATTCTTTTCAAAATAAATATTAACGCCTTTTGTTCAGTATCGGATGTTTTTAGATATAAAAAATTAACTTGGATATGTCATTAGAATAAAAAAAAAAAATTATCTATAGTCATTAAGCAGACCATTTGCTTTATATTAATTTTTTTTTTTTAATTTTTTTTTTTCATCATTTAAAAATTTTAATGATATATATTAATATATACTTATGTATTGATTTATTTTACAGAAATTCTGTTAAAATTATTTATGTTTTTAGTGCCGTGACGAAGATAGAAAGAATGATTCGTATAATGTGACGAAAGAAATGTTGATGAGTTCCATTAAACTAATTCAGACTATAGCAAAAGTAGCCACGTCATTGAACGACGACTTAATGGGAACGTGCGAAAGTCTGTTGACACTTATTCCTAGGTAAAGTCATTTGAATTTTTTTTTTAAAAGATATTATGTGTATTATTTTTATGGTATTTTTTAGCGTATCCTACATTGATTCAAATTACGTCGCTGATCCTGATATCGTATCTCAAGTGTTGAAATTGGCGAGGTGCATTTTGGTGTATTTTCCCGAACAAACGATGTGCTATTTTAACGCAAACAATTTTTTTCCGTCACTTGTTAGTAGCGTCGAAGATTCTGTTGTGAATTTACATCCATTCGCTCAAAATTCTATCGCCTTAATGATATTAAAAAACGGACCCGACGTCTATCCGGTTTTGACTCAATATGTGAAATTCGTGGAAACCGCTTTGAAAGTAAGATACATATTTTCATTGTCAAAGTCATCGTTATTATTTGATCATAGTGGATTATTATTATTATTTTTTACATTGTTTCACAGATTGATCACGTATTGACGTCTCAGTGTGCCACATCCGGTGTTATGTTTGTGTTTAAAAGCGTCATGCCGTTGTTAGCCGTAACAGATTTCTTTATGGGATCGAAAGAAAAAATGGATTTGGGCTGGGCGTGCATGCGGTTAATTTATGTAGTGTCTGTGCTCGAAGCCGACGATAACGCTCTACTCGTACCAGTGAAAAAAGTGTTGGATTTATGTTTGGCTCACAGTCCATCGTCTATTTCGTCGTTGATTATACTCAACATATCTACTATAGGTAAAAATTGCATATTCCGTCAGAGGATCAGTTTAAAAAATATACTTACCGATTTTGAAAATTGTTCTATCGTCCAATGTTGTTCCTCGTTTAGGAGAAAACGATTTCGTCAAGATAATGCACAACTACCATAGCTGGACCAGCGGACTTGGTAAACGAAATGTTCAGTCTCTCATATTTGCGTTATCGTTACTCAATTACATTATTAACACTAAACCATCATCGGTATGTGTACAAACGACATTATAGAATAACATTTTTAATTAATTAATATTTTTTGTATGAAACAATTTAGGCTGTGCTTAAACAAGGAAAAAATGTAGCGTTATTCGATCCGGAGAGAAGATTGTCGAATTTATTATCGTACCGTTTGACCGTGTTTCACAACAAACTCAATATATTGTCGCTCACCATTCTCGGCACGCTCGCAGAAGTATAACATATTTGATTTAAAAAACAGGTCGTTCCATTTACAATCAACAATGCGTCTTACCTTTGTCTTCTTTTTTTTTTCGTTTGTAAAAAATGAATAATAATATTGGAACAAAAAAAAAAAAATGTTTCAGTCGACCTGTTCAAAAGTGACCTTTTTATATTTATTTTCATTTTTATATACTACTACCTCAAAATTATTAATAATAAGAAATCTGAGAGCTCAACTGATTTTGATATACTTAAACCTTGAAATCAAAATGAATCGTTTGTATCGTTCCAAACGGCGTAACTTAAAATTTAAGAATGGTATTGAGGAACTTTTTAAAATGTCATATTTTATTAGAATGTCAAATTTTAGAACAAAAAATGTTTATTTTTTTTGCTTTAAAGTTTTCATTTTAATTTAATTTAAAACCTTCAGAATATTACACTATTATTTTGGCGAACATTTATTTTAGGTATTGAAAATTTGGCTTGGAAACATTTTCAATGAACTTGTTCATTCCTTATTTTTGCTGGCAAGTGTAAAAAACGTTCACTTATTTTATTAAGAAAGATTGTCGCTCTTCACTTATTTACTAGACCTTTTTAAGTTACTTGGAATACAAGTTATGATTGTTTTAAATATTGCTATGCCCATTTATTAACGCCGGGTTTACACGCCTGTTACTTTTGAACCGGTCGACTGTAATAGTTTTTTTTTCTTTCATTCAGACATTTTCATTGGCTGTGTAAAGACTAATGTGAGAAATTTAAAAATCTTGTTGTATAGACATGGAATGACCCAAATGTTTTTTATTGGTTTTCAAATTATTAACAGTGATGTTCTGTTTACAGAAGCGTTTTGTGTCGTTTAGTCTTTCGATGGGATTTGATAACGACAAACGAGCTCGACACGAAATGTTGTCGTACTTGAAGTTGCATCGTTTACATTCCACAAACATTGTGCGTAGTATTATAACTTTGTCAAGTATAGAATTAGAACATCGTTGAAAAAAGTATTTTCTAATTTATTTATTTATTAATTGTGTTGTGCTTAGGTGAAAATGTTAAAGTTCTTGCACAACGCGATCGCTTACCAGTGCAAAATGTTTGAAATTATTTTAAATGTGGAACTTCTCGAGAAGTGCATTAAGGAAAAAAAAAGAATTGAAAATATCGACGACAGTATCTTATGGTTTATCGAATTGGAACTAGAAACAGACGTAAGTCAAACGTACCTGACGTATCCTCAAACCTGAGTTGTATACATTTTTTGTACGCATACATTAAAACGGTTTTAATCAATGTTTCGCTCTATGTGAAATGAGTAATACGCATAAGTTATTGACAATAAATCAAAATGTCTTATAATTATCTTTCCTAAAGGATTTTAAACAAGAAAACGGAAGTCAAGTGTACCTTGAGACATTGGGAATCATTCACACGCTGTGGTATAATAGATTTAATCTGGCGATGAACTATTTGGAACAAAACGGTAGTTTTTGGAAGTTAATATTTAAACCGTTATTTTATAACAAGTAAGTAGTACAAAATATCGAATAATGAGCCCTATTTCTTACGTTTAATAACTTAAGCAAAGCACATTGGTTTTTTCACAAACCAGTGGTTGATCTTTCTTTAGCTTGAATGACACATGTTGTGGTGTTTTGTCATATTTTAGAATGATTCCAGAAATAAACTCTGAAGTGTTTTCAATTTTATCACTTCAAGCTCATTCGTGCCCGATTGATAATAAGAAGGAATTTTCCGAGCAGTTGGACATATTTTTGAAAACCAGACTTAATAGTATGTTAACGGTAAGTGTGAATACTCAGTTCTATGATTTATCTTGTATTTATATTATGTAGTTAGACATATTTTATACGATGAAAAAAATTGTTCTAGAGGCTATTATTAAGCGATTATAATAATATTTTTAAACCCTTAAAATAAACGCTTAAGTATGCTCACACAATAAATCAATCGGTTCAATGGTTGTTATAGATTAGCATCAAAGTGTTTTTTTGAAAGTGATTTTACCACATTCAGTTGTAACTATTGTGACCACCCCATATGCTCCGTCCACATTGATCTGACTGTACTGTTTTTTTTTTTTTTTAATATCAACCATTTGTTCATTATTTTATAAATTGTTGCAGAGTTTTTTACAATACTTTGAAGAAAGCAACGGTGACACCGACGATGTAAAAAGAAAACTGATATATTCGTGGAAGTTTTTCACTCTGCTCGTGTTGAAAAAAAAAAATAACGCCGTAACCGACAAGTGTCAGGTGGTCGAAAAGGTTTTGAAAATGTTTATATTGGAATTAAAAGGTAACGATTTAAGTTCGATAGCCAGTCTGGGAGAGTGTTTGCTGATCATGTTGGAAATGTGGAAACGGTGAGTTGTAAATAAATATTCTTTTAGGTGTACAGTATTATTTTTTTTTTTTCGAATATGTTACAATATTTTTGTTCTCGAATTTGCAGAAATTGTATCCTAAACAACAAAACAACAAACGATCATGTGTTGACCATATTGAAATTGCTCAACGAAAATGAATCTCTGTCTAAGAATCAAATTTCAAAAACGACCGTACTATTCGTAGTCAATGAAATAATAAACTTGTTGTACGCTGATAGCACTGCTCCTGCGAATAACGACGAAGGTTTCTTATGATTAAACAATTATTGTTATTAGACCAGTACAATAATGTAAAAATGGTTAAGTTTTAATGTTCAATGTAACATAACCTTTGTGTTTGTTTTCCAGAACATTTATTCAAAGAAATCTATAAAGGCGTTTGTCAACTCGCCGAACAACAATTGACCTGCATCGACGACCTAAGCCAAAACGATCATCGCACGTTACTAGTAAATCTAAAAGTGGCCAACGCGTTATTCTATAAAATCATTCCAGTAGTTACAAAAGTATCGAATTGGCACAAGACATACTTGTTGACAAACGCTATAAATCAAATGCTCGTTCTGGTTGAGAAACACAACAGAGTGAGTTTTTTTTTTTAAAACTGTTATAAAATTGTTCTAATGTTTATGTTTGACATTAGGAAAATAAAATCAATAGCGTGACCGTCGAAGTCACCGACTTTTTGTTGTATATTTCGTCTTTTAAACAATTTCACTCGCAATTCGGCACTCAGCCGGCAATAATTAAACAATTGTGTGCCGTACTGTCAACAAAGTTTATCGTGTCTAGACCCGTGAGTAAATTTTTCATTTATTAAATTAAAATGTATAAATTAATCGAACGCACGTTAGGCTTGGTCGACCAAAGGGATTGCCGTAAACGTCGTAACCGACGTGTGTTTGGCGTACCCGTATATAATTCCGATTATTCAATGAGTTTTCTTTTTTTTTCTTTACAGAATGGCGTCGAAACCAAGTACGATGAGCCTAAGAGGATGGTTCTGTATAAAAATTATTTCAAAATGCTGACCAACTTTTTAACCAATTGCGACAGCTGTGTAAAAAAAGAAGCGATACAACAGATCACTTCCATTTATACAGATTTGGCTACCATACTAAATTTCGTACGTCACTTAAAAAAACTTCACGGTATTAGAGTTAAAAAAAATGAAAAAGGTTTTTTGATTATTATTTTTAGCCGACAAATATGAAATTATCGAGCGCACACTTAAGTCTAGTCCAAGCGGTCGTTGAGCTAATGGATCTCGTAGTGTCCAAAAGTTATTACTACCATTGGCAGTCGATCGGAGGTGCATGTTATATCGCTTTAGAAAAATGTATTGTAAGTTGTGTTTCAGTTGTAATATTGATAATGTTTTGTTTTCATTTATTTTCACCATTTTTATGTGTGCATACAAATTGTTTATAGATAAGCATTTGGGAGTGTGCTTACGGATCGTACTCGCAGTTGAACGATCCCGACAAACTCATTATGAGCATGTACAAAAATGAAAAAGTACAATTGAATTTGACCGGATGGAAAACCAGAGGAGATATATTTACGGAGCACGATTTACAAGCGGTCAACAAGACCAGAAAAATGTAAGTGATAATATTATCTACAAATTATTTACAACCACTTAAATACGATAAATTTTGATAGAAAATATTAAATGTTTCAGTCTTTTCGAAATGCTCTACTCGTGTAATTCGGTTCTGGCACGCATAATGATTCCGCCTTACGAAATGGTGTCTCTGTTGCAATTGGGCAAAACGGACGTGAGCGTTTTCAGAAATATCGTCGGCAACGAAGTGATAATCGACAAAAAATTCACCACTTTTTGTACCATCGACGGGCTAATCGAAATGGTCGTATTCTTATCGGACAAAATCACAAGGGTATGACCACCGACATTTATAATAAAAAAATATACTTTTTAAATGTACCCAAGTTTAAGATAATTAATTATAATGTTTTATGCGATAACAGCACGGTACTATTTCCACGTCGCTGATATCGGCACTGAACGAGAGATATGCTTTGGACGTCGATCTGACGAGTTTGAACGAGGCGTTGGACTTGTGCGTTTACATATTTACCAGTCAACTTTTGATGAAAGTCTCACAAAACAACGATAACCATCGACATTTAAACGAGATCGCCGACGTCGCAAAAAATATGGTAATAATAAAATTCATATTTTTTACAAATTACGGACACCGAGCCGAACCCAAAAGGTATTGATTTTGTTCTATTGTGTCAAATGATGACTTTTTGATTTCTTCGCGTAACGAGTCCTTAGCTAAGATAAATCGTACCCGCAACATACTTTTTTTTGCAAAGTCTTAACACTAATATTAACTATTAATTCTGTTTTATTTTTTTTATTTAAACATACAAATATATTTTTATAATTTTTTATATTTTAATGTTTGAGAAATTAGTGAAATTTTCAATGTAACAATTTTGGTTTAGTCATTTAAAGTTTCATATCTAGTCATTTTTAACAGGTGTCAATCGTTTTTACATTTTCAGAGCTTGCTCCTTTACAGAACCATTAGTAAAGACGTTGAAGATAGGCGAATAACGTTGGTCGATATTAGATCGCAACAGTCCAACGGCGACGGATCGGATGATTTACTAATCGGTTTTATGAAATTATTAGAATTCATCAAAGACATCCACAGGTATAACATTTACAGGCACTAAACAATTATTTAATTTCAATTTTGGTCGTTGATTAAAAAAATTATTATTATTTTTGTTTTTTAGATCGCCTTTGTCGTTGTTGGACCAAGAATCGAGAACAGTGTATTCGTCGTATTATTAATCGAAATAATAACATAATAATAAGATAACGCAAAAAGACTGGTTAGGTGTTTTATTTTTATTTTTATGATAATTAATTAATTCATAATTTAAAAATATTTCAATTTTTTTTTTTTTTTAATATAAATTTGAAATTAAGCGTTATTCGATTGTACGACGATCATTTAAAAAATAACAAACTGAATAAAGCTATATTTAGCTATAAAGCTATACTTTTGTGTTTTGATAAATTTAAGTGCAACGTCTACGTGTAAAAGTTGAAGCAACGATTCGTTTTTGATCTTTTGTCGAAACAAAAATAATAATCTGTATAGATATTTTTTACACGAATAATAACAACAACTAGGTCGCCTTTGCTTATAAATGATTTATTTAAAACTAGTAAACGAATGTGTGTGTTATTATAAAAAAAACTAATTATTAGCGGTAATGACCACAAAATTACAGATAAGATTAGGATTATAATATTTATGTTTGTACAATCAAATGTGTCTACCGGTAAAAGTTCCGTATTAGTGTGTACAGGATTGTTCGAATTACACTTTACGGTAAGTTGTTCCGTAACATACTTGTTTTAAACGTATTAAATAAAATATTCATTACACACAGTTAATGATCGAAAATCATACTTTTATTTAATACTAGTTAATCTTAGACAACTACGACTCGAATCTACCAATCACACTGTGGAAAGTAAGTTATTTTATTTAATTACTATTTATTATCATATTATATGAACCGCTAATTGCGGAAAGGGCACATGTCCAGATTTCAAAAATAATTTGAACAATTATTTATTTTTTTTAGCCCAAAATAACGTTAATTGTAATGTAATGAAATGCCTTTCGCATTAGCTGTGATTTTATAATTTGATTTATTATAATGTTAATTATTATTTTACTATCTCTAGTGACTTCATTTTAATTTTTCGTCATTATAATAATGCTATATTTGATCTAAAAGTCACATGATGAGAAATTTTTATTTGTTTGTATTTTCTAAAACACCATTTTTTTTTTAGTTAATTAAGTGATATAAATTACTACAATTATTAATAATTTTATTGACAGTATAATATATTTGATTGAGTAATTTGACAATTAAATAAAAAGTACAGAATCATTTGTTTAAATATCTTGTTTTTTTAGGTTAATTGTACAAACCATTGAACATTAGCAATTTAGTAATTTTAACAGTTTTTAAATGCGATTTACAATTTTTGTTAAATTAATTTCTAGGCTAGAATACTCTACTGTATCCTAATCAATGTTTTTTTTCACAATTAGATTTTTTTTTTTAAATATAAAATGTTAAATATTTGTTTGCACTTTAATACTTAATTACAAATAATCAACTAAATAAAATCAGTCAATTGGATAAATATTTCTCAAATCCAAATGTCCAATAAAGAATTTTACCAAAATTTGTATAAAATAAAACATTAAATTAAAATCTTAAATACTTATTTAAACAACAACCAGAGTTGTTGCAACACTATTCGAATAAAAAGTTAGCTGGATAACAAATTATTTAAGTAAAAATTATTTTTTTTTCTTAACTATTTTTAGAAGTAAATTGTTGTTATTTAGTTAGTATATTTGACTCTTGAACAAATATTTTAGGGTACTTTTAAGGGTTAATTTATCAATGTTTTCATACATTTTATTTTCTAAGGACTAAAAAATTAGTTCAATAATAGTTTTATTTGTAAAAAATAAAATACTAGTTTATTCCTCTTTTCATAAATAGGATAATTTGTTATATAAGCAACGTCTATTTAAAATTAATATTTACACCATAAAAAAATTAAAACTAACGAATACGATTTTCTTTTATAAGAAGCTGATGCTCGTAGAATCTAAAAACAATTTTAAATATCTGAAAAAATAAGGAAATATTTTTTTACCCAAAGGAACGCATAATGTCGAGAGAAGAACAGAAAAAAAAATAAAAATAAATTGTTTTAAGTCCAGCCTATTGAATATTAATAAATATTCTTTTTAAATTTATTGTTACCTTAGTTCTAGTCTGCATAAGTTCTGAACTAAGGACTCCTAAATCATCGATGCTAATAGCATCATGAATTATTGGCTAACTATGGACTATTAGGTTTTCCTTGTGAAAATTTGATAAACCAGGTCTTTGGCAACTTTTAACTGGGTCGTGTAGGAAACGGATTTTTGATTGTTATGTAAGCAAAATTGGGCTTTAATATTGAAAAAACTGCAAATTCAATTACAAATAACCGGAATGTGTTAAATGAAAATCGACATAGTAATGTAAAGCCAAACAGAACTGAAATTGGACCACCATCCTAAGTAGCCCTCCCCTGGGTACGCCACTGGGAAGAGATAGAGACGGGTCTTTTTTTCACAGGAATATATCTCTCTGTCTCTTTTTGCCAAGAGGTTATCAGCTATGGTACTTAGCCGTAAGACGTTGTGACCCCTTATTGTTATCTCCGTATTATGTTGGGCCGATTGTAAGCATCTTGATGGTCCATTCATATTTTTCTTTCAATACCTAATAATATCTACACAGCATGGACCGACGCCAATCACCACCACCGCCACCTGTCGAGTGAACAATTTTTTTTCATTCAAACGTCACGTGACGGCCGCTTATCATATTATACCTTTACTGATAACACTCACCGAATGATAAAAATATATGTAAATAATACGTTGACGGTGTAATATTGTTATCAGCATTGTTATCTCTCTTTTTTTTTCTTTCTTCACTATCTGAAAAACAATATTCGTATAAGGAAAATAATAGTAATGATTTATAATAGTATAATATTATGTATTTCATAGGTACCTAATCCGATAAAAAAAAATATATATAAATATAATAATATCTAACGGCGGTTCGATATACAGCAATAATAATAATTACCTTCTGTACATAGTATATTTTATACCTATTACTAGCATGCAACTCGTACCTACCCATTAGGTATTATTACTTTTTTTTTTATTTTAATCTCCAGTCGACGTCAAGGTGAACGACTGCAACAACCGAAACCTACCGCGAAAATGTCGTCGTCCAGAGTCGTTTCGGTGTTCGAAAACAATCAAAAGTTGGGCGAGGAATTGGCAAAAAATCTATCGGAACTCGCCAACGATGTGCTCAACGAAGGAGGCAACGCCGTATTCAAAATTGGTCTTTCGGGTAACGATATGAGCATATTTTATTCAACTAAACAAAACACAATGTTAATCTAGAAAAAACTCAATCGACACTTGGGTGGTTATATATAGTTAAATATTTAAATAAACCCTCGACCACCAAAATAATTCTCTTTAGCATACCTATGCGTATTTCGGCAACAATCTTACCGATCCCCAATGACGGTGTGACATATGCTGTAGAGAATTATTTTTGTGGTTAATATTTTATACATTTTCAATTTCCACATACATCGTCTTCCCTTTGCAGGCGGATCGACAGTGACGCTTTTGGCCGAATGTTTACCAAAAATTGTCACGGACTGGTCGAAATGGAGGTTTTTCTTTTGCGACGAACGCCTAGTTCAGTTCGACGACGCCGAGTCCACTTACGCTCAGTACAGAGATAAATTGATCGGACGACTGCCCATTACCAAAGATCAATTTATCAAAATAAATCCTCAGCTCTCGGGTAACGACTCGATACAATTCTATGTTAATTTTCAACTGTAACGTGTTCACTATAATACAATTTTCTATTTTTTTTGTTTTATTCTCAGTAAACGAGGCAGCAAACGATTACATTAAAAAAATGTCAGTGTATTTCGCTCCGTACGAATTACCTCGTTTTGACGCGTTAATATTGGGCACTGGCCCTGACGGACATACGTGCTCCTTGTTCCCGGGCCACAAACTATGTGAAGAGACTTCCGTGTGGGTCGCACCCATTTCGGATTCTCCCAAACCTCCGCCGAATAGGATCACGTTTACATTCCCTTTATTGAACAACGCTAGGTATTGCGCTTTTGTCGCAACCGGAGCCGCCAAAGCAGATATTTTAAAGGTATTGTAAATATATTATTTTTACGTAAAATTGTATTTATCAAGGTAATCCTTATTTTTTTTGCCCTTCCACTTGTAGCGGATACTCAAGGATAATGAACCCTTACCGGCCAACAGGGTTCAACCGACCAACGGAAGTGTCCAATGGCTGTTGGACGAACCCGCAGCCAAATTGTTACAAGAAGAAACTTCGTTATAATAATTTGTCATGAAATATTTAAATTAAGTAATAGAAATTTATGATGATGATTATGTTTTTAACTACGTAAGGTGTTTGGTTAATTTTAATAGGAACACTTTTAAACAATTTAGTTTTTATTTCTGTTTCGGAACTAAAATTAAAATATATATATATTTATAAAGAACTTGAGTATTTAAAACAACAACCAGTCGATGACTCGATTTATTACACTGTTTTATTCTTTAGAATTTTTATTTGTAAAGAACAAACGAGTTATTGGTTTATTATTTTTTTTTAAATAGTTTATAAATTATTAAAAAATATATTCATTATTGCGATTAAATATTTGTTTATTAAAATATCACATTTTATGTTTAATAATAAATATATGTTTTAAAATCACAATGTAGAATAAAAAACCGCAATATTCAAACAACAGTTACAAGTATAGTAGCGATAAAAGTAATATGATAAAAATCTTATAAAGAGATCAGTTTTACCAAAACAACTATTTATGATTGAAAAAAAATTAATAAATGTGTGATCGATAATGAAAGATTTTAAATCGTCGGCCTAATTAATAATATCGTCCAGACTTGAATTTTGATTTTTCTTCCGTTTTAATAACGCAACAGAAAAATATCCAAACATATCCGATTCTGTTAATTTTTTTTGTTAAAAAAAAAAGAAGTTGATAATACTAATTTTGGAAATTAGGACAACTCTGTAAATTAGACCGACGAAGAATGAATTTAAACAATTAGTTAAATTAATTAATTTAGTTTACGCTATAGTATAATGAGCGACATGTTACAATATAAGTGGTAAAATGTAGTAGCAAGTCAACAATTGGAAAGTTTTGATAAATATAAAAATCGATAGTCGATGTGTGTGTCGTAATCCCTCAGACTTTTTATCGATTTGAGAGAGCAAAAAGTTAGTCGTAAACAAAAATAATTAGATTGAATAAATTAATTGTTTAACAAATAAATAATTTTAGAACAAATTACTTTTTATAACAGCTTGTCAAGTATAAAATATTGTTACATACATAATATTTTCGTAACCTTTTTTTTTCTCCGAATCTTAACCATCGCCTTGTACTAGATCGGTTAATCAAGCTGTCTGGACCTATCCGATCCAGTTTGCGGCTTCTTTAAAAGTATAGTTTTTGAATACATTTTCTGGTTTAAAAAAAATAAAAATAAATACTTACAAAAACAACGAATCGTACACAATTCTTACAGATAACCCAATTAAAATTTAAAAAAAAAAACCGTTTAGCAAATATAAACCCGACAAACCGACTACATTAATCGTATTAAACGATACGTTTATGAAGTCTGGGCCAAAACGTTTCCAAACCAAATTCAATTATGAATATATATCAGTAGAGGTTATTACTTTATAAATACAATACATTTTTAAATGCGGATATTTTAAATTTTTACCAAAAACTGTCGTTTCTATTCTTTTTTAGTTAATTATGTGTTGATAATTATTCAACACAAAATACAGACGGTTTTTATTCATAATTTACAATCTGTGGCTAAACTTATTGATGATTGGATAATACTATATAAAAAAAAAAGAACATTTATCATTAGAGGCTGCCACATAAAAAATCCATTTAAAACATATTATTCCTTTTTTGTATTTGTTTGAGCTATTATGTCATATTCTTTTCTTAAGTCCAGTTTTGCCTTTCGTTACGGGAAAAATATTATTTTATATTGTTCCAAAATAAGTGTCGGAATCAGTACAGCTAATTATAACGGAAAATGTAAATTATGGCTCGGCAAATACCTCTCAACAATCTCAGTTTGAAAATATTGAAAAACTGCAATTTTCGTTTAGTTATTTGAAATTTAATTTGCTTTGATACCAAACTAAAAGAAACACATTTAAAAACGTAAGTAACATTTTGTTGCTAAGAAAATAATTAGTAATTTTATAGTTTTTAAATAATAATGTTTACTAAAATGTCAACCGTTATTGTCCTCCGACGACAGGGCGGCGATGGACAAATCATGTTTACAAAATTGAAAAACATTTATTTCGAACAACGAGAACAAACAAAGGTTTTACGAGTAACAATATTTTACAAAACAAAAATGTCATAACACATGACTAGGAACAAACTTAATCAACAATGTTTTTCAAGAGAGAAATAAGTTATTTAAGTTATAGAAAAAAAAAAAAAAAAAAATTATAAATAAACGAGCCGGTTTTAAGTAAGCCCGTTTTGATAAAAATGAAAATCTTAGTAATTAAATGGGGGAAGGGGAAATGTTAAAGAACACGGTCAAACGGTCATTTCGATTTCGTTAACCATAACACGTTATCGAAGACGCGATTCAATTGCCCAAGTCGATTTCTTTTCTATCCTTATGTGGCCACGGTAACCAATGCGAATGTTAACCTTTCAGATCGTTTATCTATCGACACGAAAACCGAGTTCACTGGCTTCAACATAATATTATAAACATTGTTATAACCTTAAAATGAAAAAAACAGATGTACGACGATCGATCGAAGAAGAATAAGAAGAAGAAAGGGATGGATGTCAAATGAGATAATTAATAAATTAGAGGTTTCCTAAACGACCGTAACGTTACGACATGGTAACTCCGAGGGCTTCGCGACATCGTTCATAAACGACGTAACTTATGCTAACGGCAGGGGCGACTTTCATGAAATTGGGTGTGATACCACGATACAAGCCGGCCACTCCTTCTTTGGTCCAGATCTCTTTGAACACGGACCCCATCGTTCTCGTATCTGGCCCTTCTAGATCTAGAAAAAAACAAAAAAAGGGTCTGAAATGAAATTTGTCATCTTATATATTATGTGAACGCAGTTGATTAAATAATTGTAGTAGACTTGTAGGCACGTACGAGGTGCTTGCAGACGGGTACGGACGAGCGCTAAGGGGTACGAACAGACTTGACCGCAAGTACTGGAAACCGTACCGCACGCCAACAGTAAAGGCATTCCTGGTTTTTGTCCATCGTTGTGAGACGCAATGTATTTGTTTTTTAATGTCTACAGAGTAAAACATTATGACAATTAGAGGAAGCGAAAATTTTATCAAGACCAAACGAAACAACAACAACAGTTTACCTCGTACACCGCAAGATCGATGCCGGCATACGGTAGTATACCCAAAAGGTTGGGTATGTATCCTCGGTAAAAACTACGCATACCTTCTCGGTAATACATTTTTTGCACGCAATCGAATATACCCTTGTACTGATTACTTTTCCTTAAGGCTAGTCTTGTTTTTAAAACCTGAAAGATTCGACGACATTGGATTAACATTAACGAATCGTGAGCACGCAATGGTAATACTTTACTTCTAATGGATAAATTAACGATTGACTAAAACCTCCGGCGAGCGATCCCGCCAAAAACCTTTCGAATATCGTCAAGTCTTTAGCTCTCGAGCCGCGGATGAGACGTTTGGCTTGTTCGTATGCCATGAACTTGAACGCAGACTCCGGGGCTATCTTGAGCACGTTTATGCCGTTTCCTCGCCACATGCCGCGGACACCGCCCTCTTTCAACATATTTTTAAAACATGAAGTTATATCGCTATGTTGATTGCCGTAAACCTGAAAAAATCAATAAAGTTCTTGGTTATATAAGTAATATTATTAAATTTGGTTGGTCGGTTAATATTAAAATAGAACGGTTGGCGTCAATTACAAATGTCATTAGGAAAAACAACAAAACGGATGATAATTCAAATAAATTTTCATTTTAACCTGAAGAAACACTTTGAGTCTATCCAAAGGTGCGGTGAATGTTCTGGAGACGGCTCCGGCAACACCTCCCGATACAAGATGCCGCCACCACATGCCGGTTTTCATTTCTGCTTGAGTAAAATCATCTGGCACGTTCATATCCTCTCCAATGTCTATGTACTATAATATGGAACAAAATGTTTAATCAATAACGAGTAATTTAAAACTATAATACAACACAATACATGCAATAAGTTGAAATAATTATTTTAACCCATTTGTTCTCTTTCTTTATTGTTATAAAAAAAAATGAAACGGTTCTTTTTAATTTAATATGTCACTACCATGTCTATAGGTTATCATAAAATTCGTCTCTAGTTAAATATCAAAACATAAATATCTATATCAACTTTATTAGATATTTTGTTAATTAAAAAGCCTGTTAACTAGACCAGCGTTGTGCCATCATTGGTTTTTCATATTATACAAACCAGAACAGTTAATCTCAGCCATACACATTTTCAATTTAGATAGTTAGTATAACGTGTGGGTCTATAGTTAATACAATCAATTTTTAGAAATACTTTTAAAATACATATTTAAAAAAATCTCCTTACAAAAATATTTACATTTATAAATCAACAATGTAATGTTATTCTCCATATTATTTAATATCTATTTTTGTGAGTATCCAACGTTATTTACTTTTCATTCATTTAAAAAAAAAAAAATGTTCAAATTTCTTGAGCATTGCAAAATAATAAACGGTGATAATATGATTGTACCTCTTCACACTGTACTTTCCGTCAAATTTAATCTAATCGAATAAGACACTTGTAACAACGAAAACGTTGTAATCCTTTTTTTTTTTTTATAATACCGTTTCTTAGGATAATATAATTCTACACGGTGAATAATTAAAATGTAGTCGACCAAAGAGAACAATTTAAAAATCCAGACAAGAGACCAGCAAAGGATTTTGAAACTATTACAATGCCGTCTGATCGCACATAATAATCGTCTTGCACAGCCTCATTGTAGAAACATTTGTGTTCAAAAATTTTAATTAGATACAAATGCGATTCACTAGGGAATTTTTTATGATATTAGGATTGGCAACGCAAAGTCAAATGAATAAACCAATAAATAAGTCAATCAATATGAGTGGGGTTCGGTAATTCGATAAAAAAACTATAGAAAATGTTTGCTAAAACTGAAATACTGTAAACCTGACGATAGTAATTTTTTACATCAGCTAAATTATTGTTTTTAGGAATAGCAGTTATACATTGGAGGTTTTCCAAAAAACGGGATATGAGCCCGATGAAATAAATAAATGTAATAGGCAATCGAACGGGGAAAAGAATATAATTAATGGGCGATTTTATAAATCCTACTAGATATCAACTAATAGGGCCAAGTCACAAAGAATATATTTTTAAATAGAAGATCATAATACATCGTTAGGATGCAGTTTTTAATATTTTACAGAATCTGTTAAATGTTAAAATATATTATGTAACGCTATCAAAATGTTAGCAAATAAATTGCCTATTGCAATATCACAGAGCAGATTAAATCAGAGGGACACTTTATGTAAACAATGATTTTCAGACGAACGCGGCCATCTTGTCATTTATCCCGACATAATATTATACCGATTGATAATTTTGAGAAGATGGCGGCCACGTTTTTTCAATAATAAGTATCCTATGAACCGTGTTAAATTTTGAGTGTCTAACCCCTGATAACATCTTCCAAAAAGTCATACAGTGGCAAAGAGCTTTTGAATTTATAAAAATTCCAAAACAATCAACACCATCAACAGAGTTTTGAACGTATTTTTTTTTTAAAAATAACATTTATCATAATTTCATTTAAACGTAGTTTTCACACCGTTTTATCCCAACAACAATTCCATAATTACAAAACCGGCAACAATGTAAAAATCGATGAGATTAATTCATCGGGCGGATTTGGAATTTCCCCAAATTAACTATCAAGTTCAACCGGTGCTTATGATAATTAAAAAAATGTATTTATAGCGTCCTAACCGAGACTGCGACAACATTGACCTTGGTTGGATACCTGCCAAGTGCGTTACCGCTATTATCTACTGCATATAACATTGGCAAATCAATTTAAGCCCTTTGACTTCTCTCCTTTCGTTTTGTTTAACCCTTTCATCATAGGCGCAATTAGAAGGGGGGGGGGCTAAGGGGTATTGGCACCCCCCCCCCCTTTTAAAACAAATTAGCGCCCTCTAATATCTTTCCAGTTTATGTATGAAAACCTCAGCTTATAAAAATGTTTAATATAAAAAAAAAAAAAAAACCAAAAGATTTTTGCAGAATCAATAACAGTATTTATTATTCAGTATTGTTTATCTATTTCAGGTGGCTATCGCATTTCTGTCTGCTTTAAGAATTATAAAGATTTGGCTTAAGGTTACAACGAGACAGGACAGTCTGACAGATTTGCCAATACTTTTTATATAGAAAAATACATGACAAATGTAATCAACATTAACAAAGTTATTGACACATTTGCAGAACGAGCTAAGCGTATAACTCTTGTATAAAATACCTGCTGTAAATTGTAATATTGCATACATTTTTAGTATAAAATTAGCATGCTAATAAACCAGTGTTAAATGTTAAATTTATACACAACATCCTTGCTAAAAAAAAAAACATTAACCTCATTAATTTTGTATCCCTAAAGTTTACTAAACCCTTAAGTTTTTTTATTGAAACTGCGCCTATGTATTTCGTTATTGTTTGTTTATCGTTTCTAAGGAATTTATTAGAAAAAAAAAATCAAATCTAATAAGATTTAAACTTTATGACCTTGACCGAGGCCAATGAGGACTGAATTAATTATTAACACGGTGTTCATTTAAAACTAAAAAATATATTTCCAGATTATAAGTACATAAGAAGTATATCGGGCTGAATGAACTAATCGACCAAGCTAACAGTTTGAAGTTGTGCAACAATAATAATAATAAAACTGCCATAAAATAAAAAAATAAACCAGGCAAAGTTCTATAATAATATGTTTTATTCGCACACGTTATGATAATAATATAGACCGCTTTTTTCGTCATTGGTCTATTGTGATAGGAAATATCTACTCATATCAGGTTAGCAAACAAGTTTAGGAGTAAAGATTAAAATAATATATAATGATATTTTATGACGGAATGACGAAACGTTACAATAGTATTATTATTATTATATTATTTTATAAGGCATCGATGGTCGATAAACCGCGTTGGAATAATTGTTATAAAAAAACAACTACCGTTATAACAAAAAAAAAAGAGTTTTAGATAATACAAGTAAACGTTTCAGTTTCAAAAAAAAAAATATATACATATATATATATATTATTGCAGATCTAAGTCCCTATGGACAATGCAAACGGCGTATTGTCACTATAATTTTAAAAATAATATACTAATACTATTATGGTAAATCGCTATTGGAAATAAGTGTAATAAACAATTACTAATTTGTTTTTAAACGTACAAAATAAACGTCATTATCTATTAATTACACACACACAACACGTCCAAAATGCTGAGGATTTTTTATAACATAATATTTTAAACGGTATAAGAGAGCAGAAATAAAACATTTAAAAATCTTTAAGTATGTTTAAAAATCCCTTTAATAGTTTGGACTCTCTGAGTAGAATTCCACACTAGCTGGCCAAATGAAAAGAATATATTGTTTACAGATTGTTATTTAGTACAGCATGTACAAAACAGTAATATAATAATTTTTACACTGCTCGACAGCGCTGTGTTTTTTTATTGTTAAAACAAAAAATGTTGGCTTGTTTTTGTTTAATGTTTTTTTTATCACATACTTGTTCGTCCTCGGTCATTTTTTGGTAAAGTTTAACATAATAATCCAAAATATCACAGCACGGAAGACAGTTATTGTTATCATTTTGAATATCACAAGGTGTCACTATTGCTTTGCCGTTACGTTCTGAATAAGAATACTTAAATATTAAATAGTAATTAGTAGCCATGGAGCGGCCACTTTTTTAAAATTAAATTAAACTTGACTATTATTTTTGTCGGATATTCGACTAGTAGTAGTTCGCGGGTAAAAATAATAATTCACTACATGCCATCGCATTTGGCCAGCTCAGACTAAAGCGCTATAGCATCGTTTAAAATAATAATATATAATGTTTGCACGTTATAATTGTACCGAAGGTGTTCTATACACGATTGATTGTCTCGGCTGGCGGGGGCAACCGTATAGTAGCACTTAATAACCAAACACACACATACATACACACATTTAATAATACATTAATTATTGTATAATAGTAAATCATAGCTATTACTATACATATGTAATTATTACAATTGCTTTTTATACTTCGAACTGTCGACGATTATTGGCGAAATTCTCGGATTTTAATATCCATTACTTAATCTTAAAGCGGTTCACTGACCACTACTTTGGTCCAACACTCTTGTCGATGACCAACTTCTTCGAGCATATTATGATCATATAATATGATGCCACAAAAAAAATAAGAAAGACATTTTCCTTCATTAATAACATTTGTATTTTGAAAATGTTCAATATATACTGGTTTAATATATTTTCTATATGTAGTATAATATATTAGATTTAAATGAAATAGTGTTTTGAAATATAATTACTTGAAAAAAGCGCTTGCAAACTATATTTAAAAAATATTTTAAAAAATTATTCGAATAATTGAATTTGAAATTATTCGAATAACCTGTCATTCGAATAAAATATTATTCGAGTAATTAAGTTTGTGTAATATTCTTTATAACTTTCAATTGAGTAATGAGTTATCTAGATGATTATTTAGATAACGTTTTATTCGAATGATGCAAAACTCTGATTGTAGCAGAAATGCAACTTGTTTATTACATAATTTTTTATTGTTAAAAAAATTAGTTTAATTGGCGCCCCATAGAAATTGTCAAATCTACCAGATGTTGTAAACGTTTTTTTTGGATATAATAATTATATACTTTTTTTTAATTATTTTTTTCTAAATTTTTGATAACTTAATCTATACAAAAAACTTAGACATTTGAAGCGTTAGGCAAAACCGATGAGAACGATCATTAGAGGTGACTAATTTTTAAACTATCCTGTTTTATTAATAGCCACGTTTTATTTTTTAATTTATTGGTAGTTTTATCAATAAAACTCATTAAAATATACACAAAATACATATACATATAGACATTTTAAAAGCTGATATATTGAAATCTATCAGCGTCTAAAATATCTATGAAAATATAATTGCAACAAATATTTACAGCGATCTCAACGTAAATTCGTATCACATTACTTAAAAAAAAATTGGAAATAAAAAGCGTACAATTCGAAATATCAATCAATTGAGGAAAACTGAGCTAAGGCAGAAGTTCGATAAACTATTACATTTGTAGAAGTCATCTTCTAGCAAATCGATTGGACGGATTCATACATAGATTTTTTATTTACCCAACTGAGAAAATACTAGTTAGATGTATTATTTTTATTTTTCGATTTTACTCGTATGGGCAAAGAAAGAGTAAACTTTAATACTAAATATAATATAGTAAATCAATGTTCTCTAATCGACCGTGTGTGAAGTTGTGTAATAACAATTGATAAGACCATAAAAAAACAGGTAAGGTTCAATAGTTGGTTGCACATTATTGTATTTACTACGTTAAGGAGTAAAGATTGAATAATTAATAATAATAATATGATCGAACGATCAACACATACATATAATATTATATTACTTTATTAGACGTCGATAAACAGCATTGGAATAGTATTTATCAAATAGCTATATTATTTCGAAGAAAGAATTTTAGATAATATGATGAGAACCTACATAATATTCTAGTTTTTGTAAAATTATTATTGCAGATCAAAGTCGAATACAATCGGCATGGCATAGTCTCATTACATTGTTTGGCAAGTAGCTATTTAACCAAGCAATGTACTAATTTAGCCTATAACTTAACTATTGCCAAGCTACCTGCACTTGATTTTTAAGCTAAACTTGTGTAAACGGCCATTAATTCTTAAACCGTCCCTATTTTAGTAGTCTTATTGATACATATTTAAATCTTGATTGTAATATATTATTTAGAAATTTAAAAAAAACTTAGTGTCTATAATACGAAAACATTATAATTTTAAAATATAAATAAAGAAAAAATGGAAAGAACTAGAGACAAAAGTTAGGTCATATTTAGAATATATATTGATTTAGGAGATATTTTAAATATGCCAACTTCTGACTTTCTGACTTTTTTAGTTACACGACTTTTATAGTCAGGTTAACTTTACTGAGTTACAGTGAAAGTTTGATAACAAATGAAAGTAAAATTTTTTTAACACAACTAAAAAAAAAAAAAATGTTTTGAAATGGGTTTAATTTTTTTAATGCAAATTTGAATATAATTTTGTTCTTTCCGTTTAACTCATGTTCTATCTTCATTTTTAAATGTTACATCGTCAACGTTCCGAAACAATAGGAGAAAATAAAAGTTGTTTTCAGATAATATTATGGTTTTATATTAAATCGACTGGATATTATCGACTAGGGTATTTTTACTGTAGATCCCAAATACAATGTCTATGTTAAATAGTTATTAAATCAAACAGTCAAATCATCCCATAGAGTAATAATACACAATAATTTCTGTATATAGAACTGATGCATCATAATATAATGTCTAATGTCTTGTACTCATCTACGAAGTAATCAAGAAGGCGAATGACAGTATGACCACTTTAAATATTTTCTCATATAAGGTTGGTAAACACTGCACAGTGTCACCCAAATAAATTATATAGATTAATAGATAAATTCAAATAACGTATGTCAATATGTAAACGAGAATAGGTTTTTTTTGTATCACATGGTTGTAACAGTGAAACAATTAAAAAATATGTACTAGAGAAATGTAATTTCGCTGTTCTGGTCACACTGCAACTCACCTTTTCACTTACTTCATAATAATATTGTACTTATCGCGACCCCCTGAATCATCCTATTCGTTTAAGTGACAGAAAGAGTAAAACTTATCAATTTTGGCGACTTTGAATTACTAAGAAAATAACTCGAACTGAATAAAGACACTGGAAATGGGTGTCAATTCTCCAAGTCAGAGTAAATTAACGTTAAAAGTGAAAAAAATCATCCATCTGAATTTTCTAACCACATACGACTTTTTAAGGGGTTACATAAAGACCTTTTTTCATAAAAAAAAATTAATTTTAAGTTAAATAATTTGACAGCTTACTAATTTTGAACTAGGAAAATTTGAAGAAAAAAATTCAATTATAAACATTCAAATTTTTTTATTGAGATTTTAGTATTTTCTTAAGTTAATTTATGCTTTTTGGAACGATATAAGTCTATCGAAATCAGATAAGCTATCAGAATATCATATCATAGTAAAAATGTAAATTTTGGCTCAGAAAAACCCTCTTGGATAATCCCCTATTGAAAATTTAACAATGATATTTCGGTTTAATTGCTTAAAATTTAATTGGCTTCGATGCAAATCTTGAAGAAAACTGTTTAATTGAAAGAACCGTTTCGTTCTATGAAAAAATAAATTGTAATTTTATAGTTTTTGTTTTTGAATATATTTTTGTTTGTTTTTTTTACAATGCTAAACAATGCCAATAAACATTTCTAAACATTTACCATTTTTCGGTGTTTTCTAGAGCACAATCCTCTTTGAAATTTATAGTAAAGAAAACGATAGAAAAGTACATTTAAATTGTTTTATTTTTAGGAGAAGTAAAATAAGTTTTAAACTTAATTAAGTTTTAAGTTTCTAAGAACTTTAATTATTTTAATAATCTCGTTAAAATATTCTGACATAATACAAGTCAGTGGATAGTTCTCAAACTCAACTTACCGTCGAGTGCCGCCAATATTTGATTAGTTCGTGAAGGTCGGTAAATGGACAATACAGTAAAAAGTCTCTCCATTCTTCGAAACTTATTTCCAAACTACCGTCTTTGTCCATTCTAAAATGTATAAATTATTTGTAAATTTAAAATAAGTCTGTATTAAATATACACATATTTAATATTTATTTAATTGGATTAAAAAAAAAACCAACTTACCTCTTAAGAAGTTTAAGGGCTTCAGCGTCGTCCACTTCAATTCCTAATTCTTGAAAAGCTCTTATCAGCTCTTCTCGATCAATTTTTCCTTAAAAAAAAAAAAGTATTAGTAATCAAATTAAAACTATATTTTGTTTTATTAATATAGTATATTATTATTTTAGATAAAATATTTTCATTAACTATGTTTAAACAGTATGAATTTTAAGCGATAGTTAATAATTTTTCTATCTTTTTGTCATTATTTTAGCACAATAGTCATTATTCTCACTTTTTTTTTATAACATGTTGTACAATATTAAACACTTAGGCCCTAAGGCTCTAATAAAAATATATTATCATATCCGCTAACTTTTTTTTTTCATCTTCGATGCATTAGCAGAATGTTATGGTATTTAGACACACGTCATCCTTTAACCGCTAGACCAACTTCTTCAGAAAGCCAACCCATAAAAATTAAAAATTAAATATAAAACATAACATTTTTAAATATATATGTATTTTACTTTAAAAAGGATATTTCTAGAGATTTGCATAGAAGCAAATAAATTTTTAATTAATTAAATGAAATAAAATTTAAAAAAATTCAAATAGAGATTGTGAAGGTTATTGAACCAAAATTTACATTATTTGTTATTACTTCCATGAAATGATTAAAAATATGCTATACTGATTTCGATATGTCCTTTGGAACATTTGAATAGTTTCAAAATGCGTAACTTGTAACTTTAGAATATGGTAAAATCTCAATAATAAAAAAAAAATTACTTTTGAAATTTTTAAATTCAAAATCAGTAAGCTGTTAGGATATTACACGATTTTGAATTTTAATCATTTGTGTTTTAAGTACAACACATTTTGGCTTGGAAATGTTTTCAGCAAACAATGCCAAAGTACATTTATAGCATTTCTAATATACCTACATGTATGCTTTTATTTAAAATATTAAAACTGGCAAATTTACCATTTGTTTTCGCAAAAACAAAATACGATTATTACAAAATAAGTCGAATTAAACTACATGATTAATTGCAATTTTGATAAAAAAAAAGTTAACCTACTTTTTTATCTTTGTAAATCAAATAATTTTTTTTTAAATAGCTACTAGTACTTGCCAAACACGAACTTATGGTCAATACATGGTTTCAGAACCAAATTTTAATAAATAGTTGTAATTCATTTGTTAATGAAACATAGTAAAAGAGTGTGAGGGCCTAAATTGAAATTAAAATATAAAACCAACCGAGAAGATAGTTGTTGAATTAAATTTAGTTGATATGTGTCGTCAAAAATGAAAGATTAATATTGTTAAGTATCTATTAAATAAAACTTTTTTGATGGATTGAGTATGAAACTAAAATTTTTTTTTTTTATAATACGCAGTATATTAAAAATTTTAGTTACCAAACTTAGGAAATTGTATTACGTATATCTGTAGTAATATCAACATTAAAATTTGTTAACACTTACCATCTTTATTTTTATCAATATTTGAAAAACTAAGCCTCAAAGATTTTTCATGTTCTTTTACGTAGTGTATAAATTCTGCTAACGTTATTGAGCCGCATTTTGTAGCATCAGACATTTCCAAAAATTTCTAAACCAAATCGTAAAAAAAAAGATTATTAAAATTGTTATCTTTTTTCTCTTAAATATCTCCAACAATATTTACTTGCGCAAATTCCGTATCGTGCAAGGCAATGGACAGGTCATGGATGTCGATTTTTCCATTCTTATCTAAATCTAAAGTTTCGAATAATTTAGCCAAACGCACTTCATCTTCTTTGGGGAGTTCGTGTAAATAATGAGGCGGCAACACGTTATCTGTACCGCTGGCTCCCGGTATCGCATGATGATGATTTATCGTGTTCACCATAATTGCCAAAAGGCGAAAAAAAAATCAAATCAAACTAAATGAATTTTCACTTTCGAAGCCTACACTCTCACTGGTGTTCTGCTGCCTACGTCAAAGAAGCATTTAAAAAAAAAACCAAATCGTTCGCTAACTGTTATAAAGTGTGTGAGAAGCCAAACTTCGATAAAAAAAAATTAATAATGAAATGTACGCCGAAACACTTAAATTACTAGGTCCTAGTGGCGTTGTGTCTAAACTTCAAAAATTTCTGAGTCATTTAAGAAAAATCATGTCAAATTTTTTTACTTGAATAACTTGAACCGACGTTATCACTGATTTGTGTTATCAGTCCGTTACCACTTCATTTCCACGATAAGTTGTTGATTAAACACGGTACCATGTGTTGCAAATAAAAAAAAAAACCCCGCCTTAATTTAAATTCTCTTGTAGAAATATGATTTTCATAAATAATTATATTTAATAATTGAAATAACTAAATTTAATAAATACTATGATGCAGATATGACATTCAGGTTAGTCGATTAGTCAGTAAACTTAGACGGTCGAGACAGCCAACACTCATTGACTCATACTTAATGATGAATACAATTCCAGGTTTGTCGGGTGGTTTAGTTACAAAAATTAATAATTAAAAATTTTTATTTGTTGGCGCAAATTAGGGAAAGATTAAAAAATCTTGATTTATAAAATACAGTACGAGAATTATGATAAATAGGTATGTATATATAATATGCTATGTAGGTCTGACAAAACAAATTATCGAGGATCATTTATTGGCTAATATAATCGTTGTATAAAGTCAGTAAATCAGTAATCAATTTTGTAAATTGTGTAGGATGCTATTTCATCGATTTAAATATTATTATGAAAACGAATGCAACTTGAGTTGGATAAAAATATTTCTTGTTTCCTACTGTTATCAGTTATATGTCCTGCCTTCTTGTTGGCACCGTGTTATCTCGACCCGGGGGTGTCTTTCGTGTTCTGCTGATTTGGCGGGATAATTTTTGGGGAATCATTCCAACGTTATGGTTTAAACATTATTTTGTTAGTTGGTAGTAAAAATGAATGAAATCAAGATTAGATAAAATTTTTTTAAGAAGTATTAAATTTTTTTAAATACCGTCAGTTACAATATTTTATTATATTATTGACTTAACGTACCACTATTATGTATATTATCAGATTAGGTTAGGTAAGGTTACACCTGAGGTAAAAATATTAGACCGTAGTTATGACCGAATAAATATTTCAAAACATTTCCCCTAATATATATAAAATAATATATTAATACGTTTGACTAAAAGTGTTAATTATAGGGTATAGAGTAGAGGTCTCAGTCAAGTACGTGAAAGCGAACGTTCGTGTATTCGTGTAACGAATACACGAATGTTCTATTCGAACACGTACGAATTTTCGTGAAAACGGGTATTCGACTAACGAATGTTCGGGTATTCGTGAAAACGGGTATTCAAATAACGAATGTACGGGTATTCGTGAAAACGGGTATTCGAATAACGAATGTACGAATATAGTGAATTGTTCACATGGTTACGCCATAGCACACACAAGTCTAGAATATAAGTAAAAAAAATCGGTAAAAATTAATATCTTTCTAATTTTACTTTGAAATACTTCATAGTAAATTAACTTATACATTTTCAGGGTTGCAAAATTCAAATGTAATGCCTATGTTAAAATTTACTTCTCATTTAGAGGGGTTAAGGGTGTTTTTTAAAAGAGTACAGAGTTAATAATTATATTGCCAAAAGGGGCACCTTTCATGTACACTTTTTATCAATAATAATTTTTATTATCAAGATATTATTTAAGACTAGTTATCGATAAAACAAAATTGTAAGTACCTAGGGACCAAACTATTGGAGATGTCTTCAAAAATATATGTTATACTTTTAGGATGATTAAAAAAACCTGTTTTTACAGAAAACATATTCAGGGAGAGATTCGACCCCCAAAATCCCCCCCCCCCCAAAGATAGCTTCATAAAATGTAAAATAAAATATAATGTATTATAAATGTAACCATTAATGTTTAATAATAATAAAGCTTTCATAGTTTTTGTAAATTTGTTTTTATATTCATATTTTCTTGCAATCGTTGAATTTTGCATTTTATAACAATTTATAAATTTGTCTTTATTTTAGGAAAAATGTTTTTTTATTATGTAAATAATTTTTGTCACCCATTATTACATTCAAATATTTCTGTCAGGGAATGCAAATTTGTAATGAATTTGGTTTATTTAGAGGATTAAGACGATAATTGTAGATTCAAATCTTAATTATATTGTAGTAACATAAAGCATATGTCTAAGTTTTAACTATATTTATTAAACTATCATTTTGTAATAACATATTATATATTCAAATTTATACTATATGTGACATTTTTATATAACTATCATGTTATTATTATTCAATATACAACGCGCGTAGTGTGATATAGAACCTCTTTGAATAATTTCAATAAACTTAAAATACTCTAATAGATAGCGTACATACTCATTTTAGGCGTAACATTTACATAACAATAGGTTCATTAAAGAAGGAGTTAAACACACGACTCGACACGAACTTATCCGAGACGAACTTAACCAACACAGAAACGCACTATTTAACCCAGCCCACAGCGCAGCGAAGCGCAGTTGCTCTCTCACATCTCTCATACAACCTTCTTCTCCTTATTGTGTGGACGCCAAAGTCGGGTAGCTGTTATCAGTCCGCCGCGGCCACCAATGTCCTTCCTTTCCTTATTGTGTGGACGCCAAAGTCGGGTAGCTGTTATCAGTCCGCCGCGGCCACCAATATCCTTTCTTTCCTTATTGTGTGGACGCCAAAGTCGGGTAGCTGTTATCAGTCCGCCGCGGCCACCAATATCTTTCCTTTCCTTATTGTGTGGACGCCAAAGTCGGGTAGCTGTTATCAGTCCGCCGCGGCCACCAATAACATAATCCTTCCTTATTATCCTTACACATACATACGCCGAGTCCGTAGCGATATATAAAAATACTATATTCATTACAGTTCAATTACTTAAATACTTTAAACCGTACGAGTTTCTTATCACACACGTGTCATTATTAACCAACAAAAAAACACTGTTGTTCTTTCGTTCATTATATACATATACCTATACCTAATTACTTTCCTCTTAAAGGTATCGTTAAAGGACATTAATTCTAGCGGTCGAACAATCCTATTACACCCATGTGACTATTTTTGGTCAGCAAGGAATGTAGTCGGCTTATAATAACTCAGTAGACGTGGTTATTTCTGACAAGCGCACTGATTATTATAATATCATTGGTAGACCGTGTACTGAATTACACTTTAACGAGAAACAGATGGTCATAAGATAACGTTAAAACGCCAGTGTTTGAAATATTTTATGAATGAAAACATTCGTGTTAAAACAACGTTCACTTCGGCATATCAAGATCACATACTCAAGGAATATCGACAAGGTCATAAAGCTTCGAGTGACTCCACGACAAGGTATGTACTGCATACAATATTATAACACTGTGTAATAATAAGTCTAGAGGCAGGAAGTGAGCCCTTGTAGTAAACATACACATATGCACACCCCGATTAAGAGTCGTTTTCATACTTATTTAAAATATCCATTCACCGCCGCTTCCCCGTCCTTTTCTTTTATTACAAATTGGCGCCCAACCAAAAGCTTATACCTACAAAACACAATTCTTCTAACCATTGTTCAAAAATAATCTTTGTTTTTCCTTTTTCTCTAAAAAAATATTCTTTCTCTCACATTTTCAAAAATATCACACACTTGTTTAGAAACATATTAATGACTCGCACAACAAAAGAACTTTTTATTTTAACTGCCAAACAGATTCTCATCAAATTGATAATCCAATACAACGATAAAATAATAACAAACTATTTTGAAATCATTCAAATAATTACAAATATAATCTGGGACATTTCTACAAAATATGACATTGATGTAAACAACTCCCTTCTGTTCCAAAGATTTTTTACACATCATATCAGCAATCGTCAAACTTTTCCTATCTCGGACATTACTTTAATAAACAAAGTAACCGAAACACTTCAATTTATCGTCAAAAATTCAGTACACAAAATATTTCATTCAATTCCAAATTATACAGATTTTATACAACTAAATGAAAAAGAGACATTAATTTAAAACCTATGAGTTCAGTACACACCGTTGAAGTCACTAATACAATAAAACAATTAATTCAAAAAATCATAAGCACTCATAATTCCCCTGTTGCATTTGAAAACAAAAACAAATTACAAACCTTTTTAGCGAACTTACTCTGGACAGTAACAAACGAAAACAACAACTTCTCTCCAAAAACGTTATATGCGTTTCTACATTTTTTTGAATCCAGACTAATTAGAGGAATCATATATCCAAAAACTAGCAATGAATTAATATTGGAATTAATATTAATTTTTGAAAACATTTTAAACAAATTATCTCCCACGACTATTATTCCCACAAGTGATCATTACACAGACGACCTCACAAATATCTTAAGACAAATTATTCGTGTATTCATATCACAGGCAGATTTTTCAACTGAAATAACCTCCCACAATCAATACAAAAATTTAATAAAACAGATTTATACACAAGCCCTCAGAAATACTAATATCAAAGACAAAGAAGCTATAAAATATTGTCATACGGTCTTATTAACCAGAACAATCAGAAGTTTTATCTTTCCTGCAACGATTCAAGCGTTATTCCTGGAAATATTACAATTATTAGAATCCACATATTACACGCAAACATAAACAACACCCAACAACACGTTTCCATTATCATGTCAAATGGAAAATGACCATTTAAATGATATTTATCAATTGAACAACTTAAGTCAATTAGAAGGCACCCTTGAATACTGTTATGACAGAATTACAGAGACGCCAACCAGGTCATTAAATGATCTAACCGAGATTAACACGGCAATACACGGGTAATTGAGCCCCGACTGATTTTTCTGTAGAACACTTAACAGGGGTGACAAAACTTCTCTTTGTAAACCAGACATAAAACTCTTAAAAATATCGTTAAATTTTTCATTACAAAACTCTCAAAAATGCCTAATTTGCTTACAAACTTAAATATTTAATAAATATATAAACCTACAAAATGTTTTTTTTGTAACATATCCAAATTTTCACAAACATAAACACTTAATAATTTCAGCTTTGTCAATACACTGAGGAAATGTAACTCTTTTAATACACAAATAATTAATTTCGATTTTATTTTTTA